AAAACAGATATACATAACAATTTTGTATTTGAATAAAAATAGTCCGCACATATAAAAACAACTATTTTCAAAGAAATCTTTAATTTTCCTATGTCTTCCATACTATTTCCTTGATGAGATATTTTTCCCTTGCATTTGCATGGGTTAATCATGTCTAGAAATATTTTATAATATATTTGCTTAAAATTGTTGTTTTATAATTAATTGTTTTATAACCAATTTTTAAAAATGTTTATTAAGATGTTCATTCAAAAAAATATTGTATGAAATATTCTTTTTTCACAAAAAAGTATTTAAGAAACCATTATGCGTTTTTAGGAATAAATGTTGACAATTCTTTTATCGTTACAATTTTCCGATAAATAATACAAAAGATATGTTTTATGATATATCTTTAGTATTATTTATTGGGATAATTATATTCATAAAGCTTTTTAAATATATACAGGCGTGCCCAAGGTGTCTCGACCATAACAACACTTAAGAATTCCTGAAGGTAGATTCCTGAGACGAAAATCCTAATATCCAAATGTCGTGATTATTTGTAATGCAAATAATAATGTTCTAATGTTAGACAATAAAATAATTGTAAGAGTTGTAAATATAGTAAATATAGTAAAAACACAAAGTGATATCTATATTATAGGGCAAAAGTAGTAACAATAGTATTTATGAAAAACCATGTTTTTCAGCTATACTATCCATGTTTATAGTAACTGAAGATAATACATTATTTTATTATAAAAATTAAGAGATGTTAACACGAATTAAAACGATTCTCTCGATAGTATGGCTATTAAGAGTCAAGCGCAAATCTTGTAGCGAACAATTTACGGTATGTTTTTACATAAAATATATAATAGACGTTTCGGGCACCTCTCTTAGTAATGCCCTTGCCTGCCGGCACTTGGTCTCCGTCTCCTCCTTTCAGAAGTCAACATTCTTTCAACCAGCATTCTCTCAACCAGCTCCTTATTTTGGCCCCCGCCAACACTGGGGGTCGATCATGTAACTTTTCCCCAGGGCGGAAAAGTGAAAAGTTCCACGTGAACTTACGATTATGTACGATTTTGCGGGATCATGTAACTCTCTCAAACGTGAAAATATGAAATTTTTCACGTGAACTTTTTCGCCATGTATCTTGGTGGCGGAAAGGCGGAAATCTAGAGAATTAATAAATATGCTTCAAAATTAGAAAAGATTAAGGCTGCGTTAGGATTAAGGATACATAGTACATATACAATTGATTATTAAAAGATGTATATAATATTGTACCAATAAAATAATTTTCATTAGCTATAAAACCTATGAAACTATGTTTCATGATTTCACTTTCCACGCATCCAAGCTACATACATAATCGCTGTACGTGAGAAGTTTCATGTGAAATGTCAAGGTGTGAAAAATGAAAAGTAAAAAGTGGAAAATGAAAAGTGAAAAATTTCACGTAAAGTTACATGATTGACCTCCTGGCCACACCTAGGGCCGGTCCTGGTCCCACCTGACGAGCCAGCCCTAGCCAGCCCATTAGCGATCTTGTTGCCCTTGATTCCTGAATGCCTGGGATCCATACAAGGGTCCCAGGACATTCAGAGCAACGTCATTGGTTGATAGCCGGTCCATGCATTTGCATTCCCAGACTAATCGAGATTTGAAGACATATACACCTAGCGCTCCCAGAGCCGCCCTACTGTTAGAGCAAATCCTGATGCGCCTCCCCCAGTGCAATCAAAGTTTGAGCACAGCTCAAAATTGCCACTACCTCCGATTGGAAGACGGTGATAAGCTCCCCAAGTGGAAGAACCTCCCTGACCCCTTTTTGGTATTCATAGATTTCGGCGCCAGCGCCCGTATCAGTTATGGAGCCATTCGTATACAGATGTTCCCGTTTCTGATGACGGACACCTCATGCTTCTTCCATTTTTCCGACTGGGAAAGTAAATCTTGAAGAATTTACCAAAGTCGTACTTCATTGGCACCTACTCTATCTTGCTTCATCTCGAACACAATTTCTATCAAGAGCTTTCACCGGGTGTGGGCTTCGCCAACCGTTCATTTATTCTTGCATTTTAGCCTGTAGACAGTAGCAGCCGCTGCCGCCATCATTGCGAGGTGAAGTGGTTCAATACCAAGTAGCAGTCCCATCGCTGCTATCGATGTTGTCCTCATTGCTCCCAGAGCTCCTCTTAGGATAAGGGCCCTGATGTGTTCTAGCGATGCCCAGCTGTGTCCTGGACCACCAGACAACCGCTGCATAGAACAATCTTGGCCGAAGCACTGCTGAATAGAGTCAGAACACTCTATCCGGCTGCAGGCCCCAGGTTTGCCCAAAAGTTCTTCTACACAGCTATGCAAATATGTATAGGCTTTCTTGCACACCGACTCCATGTGCAGCTTCCATTGGAAGCGTCCCAGATGCACACATTTTCAATCGGACACACCACTCACATCAGCCGATGCCTAGGAATATTCTAGTGAGCCACCTATCAAAAATTTTTTTATTTAACAACTAATTGGCAATGGGTGACATCCGTTTGATCACTAGCCACTTAGAGGCTGGCACCTAGAATTTTTCCACTGTTCAAGCGCTGTGAATGGCTAGTGGTCAATCAGGACGTGACAGGTCAAACGGGTATCACCCATCGGCAATGGGTCCGATTGGACCTCACCCTTTCATTTTAGTCTTTTGTCCAGAATGATCCCTAGATATTTGACCGAAGTTTCAGGCATTAGCCTGACCCTTTTCAAGACCGGCTTTTGAATGGGGCCCACCTTGTATTTGGATGAAGATCATCAAACTCGTCTTATTCGGATTAACTGACACTCATCTCCTTACACCATCCTTCGACTTCCTCCAGAAACCCCTGTGTCGAGAAGAGTCTAGAAGGAAAGAGTCACCAATCAGAATAGTCAGATCATCAAAGTCAGCATATCAAATTGATTTGAAGCCCTTATCGTTAAGCCTTCCAAATAACTCATCGGCTACCAGGCACCATAGGAGCGGTAAGAGAACCACTCCTTGCGGACAGCGTCTTTTCACCCATCCTTTAACCTTCACCGTCCCTAATGGTTCCCCGGATCAACTACTTTCTTCTGTACGTCTTGTTGCCTCGGCACGGACTACTTCGTGCGGAGAATTGTTAAAAGCTCCCTCGATATCCAGAAAAGTGCCTATCGCATAGCCTTCTTGCTGAAGTTGCCGCTCGATAGTAGAGACAATCGAATGGAGAGCAGTTAGACTCGAGTCAGCTCGGTATGCATGCTAATCAGGGTGCAAGGGATTCCGAGCCAGCACTCTTATATAGACGTCGATCAGTCTCTCAAATGTTTTCAATAAAAATGATCAAATGATCAAGCTGATCAAATCTTTGGCAGAGATGTAGCTCGATTTTCCCGCCTTAGGAATGAAGATGCCCACTCTTGCTCGTCTCCTCAACGGCAAGGAGTTCGAGGCGTGTAACCAAGAGCCAGGCAAGCCCTCAGCATCCTCGTAAGGGGCCCGATTACTTGATCTAGTCCCTCCTGTAAAAAAGCCGGAAAGATCGGACCCCGCCGACTTGAAAGAGCCTATTGCCCATTTGACCTTATCCAGCCACACGAATTCGGCCGCTAAGCTCCAGTCGTTGGCGCGTGCCCTGAAAGAGTCCACATCCGCTTCGCAGTTTACACCTCTCTGGAAACTAGAAGAAAGCTGGTCTTCAGGAGGTGGGCCAGGCAATGTTCACCCGATATCATGTACCGCCCATTACACTCCTAGACCGCTCCTAGACAGCATCCGGGTTCCTTGACAGAAATCTGCTAAGTCTGGCAGTGACAGGAATTCCCTCCACC